TCTATTATAAGTTCATTAAACACACACACACAGAAATGAACTAGAATAAGGCTTTCACTCTAAACTGGATAGTAAAAATGTAGAATAAATAGTCATACAATGGGGTTTCCTTCATTCTATAAGACATGCTTCTTTTTCTTTTAAATTTTGTGCTTAAACATCATTTGAGAAATATTTTGAAAGAATTGTCCATACATCTGGGCAATAGATAGATTACTGTAGTACCAAGACCTAAAGATTGGTGTTTCTGAATTCTCATACTCCAATATTGGCATGTGATTTCTGCCAACCGTTTTCTTGGGTTTCTTCTAGTAAATGGTTATAAATCATATTTATGAAGAGGAAACTCTCTGTAATTGTGTATTTTTAATGGATTTATGATAAAGCCATCAAAGTGGAGGGTCCATATGGTAGGAATGCAGTAAAGGTAACAGGACCAGTGTCACGTAAGCATTAAATACAGTGCCTTCCACCTTCATAAATCCTTGATGCTCAGAATTAAATGCTGCTGGTTATAAATTATGCAACCACACTCTAGATGCAACCACAACTTAAATAAGACACCAGGGGAAGCTGTAAGTTGTATATTGGTTTTCTTCCCAGGAAACTGTTGTATTATTTCTAGGAGATAATATTCAAGTCCCTATTTTCCTCAACAGTTATTTTCTCAATTTAACTCCCTGGTTAAAAAGTAAAAATGCAAGACAATAACCTTTCATTTTTATGTGGTAAAGTAACTTTTTGATTTGCAGACTCATTTTAAAGCTTTTCATATCTATCTGTCCTCTATCTTTAGGTCTTTAAGTTTTTGCTGCTTTTGGAGTCATATATCAGAAGTCTGCAGCAGTCTAATTTCACACTGGTATTTCCAATTAAATTATTTTATTACATGTGGGAACAATTAAACATTTGGCCCTCAGTTGTAAACAATTACTGTATACTGTGACATTCATGGACTTTTCTTAAAGAGTCATATATTTCTAATGTCCTCTTTTAAAATGAATGAGATCGATGTGTGTGTATTTTGTATATTCATAAGCAATTATATCCCCAACATAATATCAAAAGAGATAGTTCACCTAGAGAATGCACAGAGTCTGATACCATGTAGCTGCATGCAATGATATTTCTGTTTCTATTCCACTGTTGGTATTCATAGCAAGAAGCAATAATGTTTTCAGATAATTCGATTTTTAGAGTTTTGGGGTGCCTAATTCTACTATATTGGTATTAGTGTTGCCAGTGGCAAACAGGTAGAAGAAAAGAGGAGCAATGTAACCCAATAGACTTAGGCTTGAATCCCAGCTCTGCCAATTTCTAGTTGATGACCTCGGATAATTTACTTTTTTCAGACTTAGTGTTCATATTTGAAAAATGTAGATAGTTATTTCTAAATTATAGGACTATTATTAGCATTAAATGAGATATATATTTAAATAAATAGAGCACATAGTACATATTCAGTACATATTGTTTTCTCTATTGTCTCCCAAACTCCTTTTCTGGAAAGATTCATAAGCATGGTGGCTTTCCATTTCGAGAATATCCATCCTTGGCTGTTTCAAGTTTAGAGATACATTTTCTTTTCACTAGGCTCCCCTTTTCTACAAATGACGACCGTGAGAGAAGCCCACAACTGTTTTACTCACGTTCAGAAATAAGTCCACCAATCCCAGTTGCAAGGGTACCTAACAGCTGTATCCAGCCTTTCTAGGAGGCCGGAACTGGAGCCGAGTGGTAATGTTTCAAGGGCAAAGCTCTAGATGTAAAGAATGATAAAACAAACCTAAATGAGCCTGAACATATCTAGTGACAGATACACCACAGCTATTCTAAATTATTCAAGCTTTCTCAGACTTCTAGCAGAAGAAGCATAATTCATCTCTGCTTCCTTTATTCTACTTTCTTATAATGGCTAGGAAGAAAACAAAAAATACCCCCTCCCCACCAAAAATAGAAACTATAGTAATCACCCGAATTGAGAAGAGTTTTGTTTGTTTGTTTGTTTGTTTTTTTAGCATATGTAATATGTTTAGAGCCATCAATTTCTGGAAACCAGCTTTGGAGGCAGAAGTTAAAAATGATTTTGCAATGTTTATGGGTGATTTCTTTACTTCCCTTTGGTAGCATTTTGGTGGCAAAAAGCCAGGAAAACAGTTGTTTAATTACCCAGGACATTACAAACATATAACCTCTTAGATAAGCTGTTACTGTATTTTAGCAGCAATAATACTAGGGTCAAAGTAACAAAGAAAATTAAGCTTCAAATAAGCAAACCTCAAAAGAACAGCTTTGTGTATTGAGAATAATTAATAACTTGTTTAGGAAAATGTTACTGAAATGTGGTTTTTGGACAAGGAACTGACACTCTTCAGAGGTTAGATACCCTAATATTTAACAGGCTGCCATTTGGTGGGCTGGCTGGCTGGTTACCCTGTAGGCATGGCAAAAGTTTGTTCATATGTAATTATGCAACATTTAGACAATATCTTAATGATACCATGTAGTTCAGCTGAATCAGTCCAGCTGGAAGTTGTAGCAGTGTTCTGATTAACCGGCCACATGTGGAATTAAAGCTTTTTAAACCTCTCCTTTTCACTTGCTATGTCTTCATACAGATGTTCTTGGAAAGCTTAAATTATTTATGGCTTGACATTATTTAACAGAGTAAGACCCGCCCCGTTTCATTTTCAACCACTGATTAAGATTGCATTACTATATAAGATATTGTAATTTTAACAAGAATTATTATTATACTTCATCTTATGGAAGAGATAGTAGTATATTTGGGACAGTTAGAATGGAAATTTTCCACACTCAGTTTTATGCAGTAAAAGTTGTATACTTTTTTTGCAGATAATTCTTACTGTAACAATATAATTCTATGTGTACCCTCAAAATCATTTTACTAAATCATTAATAATATATCAGAAAATAGTAATTTAAGTTGCATAAATTAGCGTAGATTGTCCCGTTACATCATAAAGACACTTAAAATAGAGCAATGTCATGTTAGTGTCAAAAAAAGTTTGCTCAAGTTAAATTTTGCTAAAATTTTATTATATTTCTTTGAGTTATCTCCATGAACTAAAAATACAAAAGAAGAATTTCAGTCCCTGTGAATTATATATTTTTTAAACCCTCAAGCTCACTCTTCAGTAAGTGTTTGAACCACTTCTTTCCCATTATCCTACCTGGATGACACCACAACTATTTTGTTTTAGAAGTGAACAAAGGTATTAAATTTATAATCAATAGCCATAAAATCTAAAAGTAGTACCTAATAAAGTCAGGCAACAATTATTATAATGATATTATTTCAGCCACTTTCTGTGAATCAGAATGGAAAAAAATATATAGATAATTGGCTATCTGACATCTTTAGTATTAAACATAAAATGGGATAGTCTAAAATCCTTCTACAAATATAATTACTTGTAAACATATTGCTAATTTTAGTAAATGGAAGCAACAGCTGAGGAGGAACAGAAGTTAGTGCTGAATGTGAGTGCCCAAATAAGAAAACTGTCTTAATTCTTGTCAATCTTTATTTAAAAAGAAAATGCTAAGTTCTGATTAATAGTCTTTCCCATTCATACCAGATACTTTCCTTACCAAGGAATCTTGCAATGTATGATCCATGTATTTAAGGTAGCTGGCAAATATGTTTTAAATTCCCATTCAACTGACACAAAAAGGTTCCTTTAAAAGATGACTTGAAAGTACCATTGAAATAATGCTAAATGGTCATTAAAGACATTTAAATGTCATTGCCTACTATCTTCAGTGTGCCATTACATAGCCTCAGGATCCTTTCAAATAGCAATCAATAGAGGATGAATAAGCCTCACCACTTGAAAGTAACTAGGAAAGGAAGCCAACAGTAATCTGGCTTTTGCTGGACTGATTCAAGAGACACAATATCCACTCCTCTTCTAGTTCTCCCTCCTCCTACCCAACCCACAGACCAGCAAGCAAGAAAGAAGAAACAGAGCTGAAGGAGAAAGAGAAAAATGAAAGAGGAAAGAAATCCAGAAATTCAAGGCATAATTTGTACTGAGGAGAAAATCCTCATCCTATGGGATAAACTATTATAGCCATGGAAACAGACTTATGACTTTTACTTTGAAAATAAAAGAATGACAATGAAATTTGTGTGAGGTCTGTGTGAATCCAGTCCCAGATGTTTACAATGCTGTAGTAGTATGGCTCTGCAATATGAGAGGTTTCAGAAGAAATGAGTACAACAGGACACAACAAAGCAGCGCATATGCTATTGACAATGCAGACATGAGCATCATGTTACCAAGAGAGAAGGCAGGCAGAAGACAAATAGCAGCGGTGGTGCGGGAAAGCTAACTTCATGGACTGCAATCACTCAAGCCAACATGAGGGAACACCCCCCCCCCAGCAAAAAAAAAAAAAAATTAAAACCAGAAAAATGTTTTTGTTCCTAACTAGAGAGGTGGTGGGGTAAACGAGTGGGGGTGGCGAGCGAATGGAATTGACTTTTCTCTCTTAAATAAAGTTCCCATAAAACCCCTATAATTGACAGTGGATAATTATTTTCAGCTTGAGGAAACTGTCCCAAAACTCTTAATAAGATTGCTAGCAAAAAGAAACAAAATGTGTGTACTTGAGCCATTTCCAGGAGGGAGGGAAAGGAGACCTTGGGAGGATGGTTGGGACAGAGAGGGGCATCAGTGAACTGCAACAACTCTCAGGCGCCCTGCGTGGTCAGGCGAGTGACAAGCCAGAGAAGGCGGATAGGGTGGCAAGGAGTCGGGGGTGTAGAGGGAGCATGCCGTAGGGAGGGGGTGCGGCTGCACAATGTATACACAGGGCTGGGGGGGGTGATTTAGTGTGAAAGTATTCCACTTAATCATTTTACAGGGGTTGGGGACGTAAATATTTAGCTGGCCACATCTGGAACAGATTTTCCCCCCTTGTGGGGTGGGGGTGGATAATTGGAAGGAGGGGAGCGTGCATTTGTTACTTACTGTACGGGCAGTTCTCCTTCTTGGTACCGCTGACCTTCCCGTTCTTCTCAATCTTGAGAAAGTACTTAGTGAAAGAGAATAGCTTCCTCCAGCGGACATCTCCTTGGAGGTGGTTGTAGCTCCGCACATGCCTCCCCGCACTGGAAGGATTGGAGAAGGAAGAGGAGGACGAAGAGGAAGAGGAATTGTTGGTGGCCTCTGGTGACACCATGTCCTGACCAAGGGCTTGGCAGGTGACAGGGACAGAAGACACCAAGAACAGCAACAAGAAGCAGCAGCAGCAGCAGCCGGGCAGGTGGGGAAAGGCTGAGGCACAATGTGTCAGTATCCATTTCCACATTGTACTGAAACTCTCGGCACTGGAAATTGTCTTATCAGAAGGAACATACTGGAAGGGTAAGACCTGGTGCGAGGCAAGGAGACAGCTGGAGGTGGCGGCCGCTAGTTAGCTCCCTCTGGGTGCAGATGTGGCCAGAAATGAATGCACCAACATCCATAACTCCTTGGAAGGACCGACTGCCTTTCTGGGATCCGCTGCCGCTATGCGCCTCTCAACTCTCCGGGTGAATGGTGGACGTGGGTGGCCGCAGTAGCAGGAGCTGTTTGGTGGCGGTGGTGGAGTTGGTCACCAGTGCTCTTCACTCCCCCGGGGGTTACTTTGTTCTCTTCTTCACTCCTTTCTTTACCATGTTAGATGTAAAACAAACAAACAAACAAAAAAGTCTGAAAAACAGATGACAACACAGTGAACAAAACCCAGAGGGGTCAACAGTGGGAGGCTCCTGGAGAGATCTGCGCCCGTCTGCGGCTGGCACTTTCTGGTCCCTCGCCGCAGAGTCCCAGACTGCTAGCCAGTTCTAAAAGTGCGTCCCTTTAGAGTTGTCAGAACTGGAGGCAGCTGCCCAGTCGCCGCTGTTTTCTTCTCCCTCTTGCTTTCTCTTTTTGGTGGTGCCTGTTGGTTTGAAGCCGGCAGAAAGTCACTTCTTGTTTGGGGGGATGGCGGTTGGTGTTTTGTTTGGCTCTATTCCCCCCACCCCCTTTCTTTGGAAAGCCCGCTTGTAAACAGGTTGAAGTCTGGAGTCTAAATGTCAGTGATTCTAAGCCAGAGGTGGGCTCTGCCTCTGCTGGTCAAACCTCATTTGCAGGGGTGGAGAAGCAGGGGGAGGGGGTCAAACGGCGGTGGGACATCTGAAACCCTGGGCTGCTGGGAACGCCAGGGAGAGGGAGGAGGGAGGGGGCCGAGAATAGGGAGAGCCGGGGAGCGAGAGGAGAGCACGTTGCCTCTCTGCGGAGCTGGGGGTCTGCTAGGTCCCTTCTTTGCTCCACCGCAGCCGCAGCCTCCGCCCCGCTGCGCCTCCAGCTCCGGCTAATTGCTGCAAAAGCGTCCTTGTGCTCGCTGCTGCGCAGGCCACCGGCGCGAGCTATATCCTCAGGCTTTCCAAATTTTGCTGTCTTCCAGCCCGAACCAATCCCCTCTGGGGAGCCCCTTTCTCACTTGTTTTCCAGAGTAGATTTTTTTTTTTTCTTTTGGCAGCGAAGTACTTGAGAGCCACCTGGAGCCTGGTGCTTAGTTGACTTTTTTTTTTCTTCCCCCCTCTCTCCCAGAAGGAGGGGAGGGCTGGGGTAGAAAGCAGAAGATGCTGAGGACAAATCCTCCAAACCAGTAGATTATAAACTGGTCCGAGCAAGCACAGAAAAGGGAGACATAATTAGCTTCCTTTTCTCCTCTTCTGCCAGCTTCCAAGGAGGTCTCTGCTTTAATGAATCACTGATTTCTCTCTTCCGTTGCTGAAGTAAAAAGTTCACACTTTGGCTTTCTCTGCCTTTTAAGCTCAGGGAGATTTATCGTCACCTTTAAAAGTTACCTCTCTGGGCGCAAATGAAATCGGGACCCAAGTGACGGATTTCTAATTGCTAACATGAGCCATTTACGGAATCACGCGTGCACTTCAAAGCGATGTAGTTTATTGAGATTGCGAAGATTTAACTATACAATTTCGCCAATATTCTTCTGTGTTTTCTATGCACTTTCCTTTATACTTTGTCACAAAGAGACATTTTCTTTTTTTCTATCTTCAAATTTAACTTTTAAAGGTCTCTATTTTACAATATAACTGCACCCTCAGCTCGCTTCTCTTTTTCATCATATTCACCACCCCGCGACATCCTCGTCACGAATAGAAACTTACGCGAAACCCAGGTATAGATAGAACCAAGTCCCTAGTTGCGAAGACTTTGCAGAGAATTAAGAGGCACAAAGAATAAATACTGTGGAAAATTCGTTCCAATCTGAGTAAGAGACAGTTCCTATAGGATCATTTCTTTAAGAATTACTTTAAACCAGGGAAAGCATGCCTGAAAGCGCCTAAAAATGTATTGGTATAAAATATTTATTTTCTGTAAAGCAGCTGGACAATTGTGTTGTTTAAACAGTAAATTGCCAATCTTTTATGGTAGTCTACCATCAAAAGTAGCGATTTCCTATGGTTCAATCTAATAGGCTGCTATTGTAAGAAGGGAATCACTTCAAGGTGAAAGTGGGAGTTTGATCTCTACAACTGTAATTGGGAGGGAACTAATCATAATAGCTTGTGTTATATATACAAGCCAGAATCCCAGTAATGTGCATGTGGCCTCAATATTCTTTGTGAGCAGGCAAAAATACAAAGAAGTTAAAAATCTAGCTTTTGCGATGGGCATCAGGGATGATTGTCAGATAGTGCTGTTCAGTGACCTGAAAAATGACTTGACGTCTGTGCTCTTATATCTTCCTGTGCATTCAGAGCCTTTGAAATAGAACCATCTAATACTAGAATCATGGATTTTAACTGCATTATTTATAACCCATTTCAATGCTTATTTGGAAGATTTCGACAATGTGGTAAAGCACCACATTTAAAAATTTTAAATTTAATATAATTAGCTCTGATTTCTGTAACTATTAATTGGAGAGTTTAGCAAATAAAGAGCATACATCAAACAAATCTTGTTCTTTCATTACAGCATGGATATTTAAAAATGAACTCACAGTGCTAATTTCAATTTTCTAGTTCACAGTTTTATACTTGAGCTGACAAATGCCTGAAAGAGAGTGTAGTGTTTCTAAGGGACCAGGGTTTCAGCCCAATTGTTCAGCAGACTCCAAATGTTTGAATTGACAACTAATTAAAACTACATGTTTTTTTTTTTAAATTAAGTTTGATGAAACCATACAATAAAAGTTCCGTTATGAAAAATTACACAACACAGGAAGTTATTATTTTGAGGTTTCTCTACACTGGGCATCAACACTATTGATGCCAGCTTGAGATCCTTTTATATTTTTTTTAACTCACAAGAGACATCCCACTTCTACCCCCAAAGGAAGCCTGTGCCTGCCTCTCTCTCTCTCTCTCTCTCTCTCTCTTCCCCCCCCCTCTCTCCCTCATCTACTAACTTTCTGCTCCAATGGAAGAAGCTATTCAGAACTTTAAAAGTTTTCTGTTCATTCTGTCTGAAATGAGGAAAAACACATCTTCGAAACTTCCATATTAAAATCTGTTTGTAGCAGGTGCAGTGTTTAAAATTTCTAGAATCCTTTCTCTGCTTTTCTGTACAGCGTGATGACAGGAAGGGCATTTACAAAACAGCCCAAAGGAAAAGCTGACATAGCTTTTTAGATTATATCTCATTCTTCTTTCTCTTTTCTGTTCAGGCTTTCTTTTATAGCACAGTTGAATCCCTAAATACTCCACTGCTTTGCATTGTTAGGCCACCTCTTAGGTTAGCCCGAGAAAGCCTGAGAAAAGTTCCACAGGAAAGATGCACTATTTAACGGAATTCAATCTCTCCCAATAGATTTGAATCACTAACATAAATGTATGAATGTAGATTATATCTCTGTAATGAGGCCTGAATCATTCTCAGTTACTTCAAAGGACTGAAATTCTATCTTTCTTTTTTAGCAGCAATAATCAGGTCTTAATGGGTTCCTTTATTAATTGTTTCTCTGCAGTGATTGAAAAGGACAGTACAAGCTTCAGATTAGAGTGGTACCTACTAATTCTAAAAGGCTATTTTTCTCTAATCTCTGGAAGCCATGCTTTACTTCTATGCCCTAAACAAATCCAGTAATATTAGGCTAAATCTCGAATGGGGGAAATAAATGTGGCCTTTTATTAAACGTGATGTCTTGAGAAATGATTGAGGCTTTTAAAAGCAAGACCATGGCAGCAGCCATTGAGGAATCCTACAATGTGGCTATTTAACCCCGGAGAAGCCGTTTGAATATGTACTTCCAGAGACTTCGGTAGCTATTCTGTTTGAGCAATTTACATTTTAAGTATGTGTTTCCTGGACTTTTTATGTTACTGGGCACTATTTGTGGTTCAGTTACAAGATGTGTGTTCTATTATGTGTGATGTTATTGGCAGTGTCAGTAAGCTGCTTCAGATAATAACTAAATCAGGTCAAAAGTCAGCCAGGCTGTTCTACAAAATAGACATGTGCAGGCCTCATTTTTGAAACCTGCAGTGCAGCTCTTATAAGTACGTGAATATGACTATGCAGCCCATTATCTCTTTTGGATATGGAAGATGCCAGTTTTAAGGCATTGTTGGCATTTGTGATCTTCCCAAGATGCAGCTAATGACCAGTGACATCTGGGGCAAATGAAATAGTGATATCTTATTTTTTTTAAACTAGAGATTTCAAATGAAAGGAAAAGAGGTCTTACCTCACAGAGAATAGAGCAATACTTCAGAGCCAGTGGGAATCTTAGCAATAATTGAATCCAGCTCATTTACTTAATAGATGAATGAACTGATGCCCAAGTCAATCAGGGGTAGAAAAGAGTTTAGAATTCAGGTTCTAGACTATATAGGCTGTTGTCCTAATTTTTTTTTAAAATACTTATCCTGTCTATTTTCTCTTTTTTCCCTCCCTGCTCCTCTTCTCCTTATCATTGACCACTCATCACTGTAATATATCTTAGGTGCCAGGTTGGAAGTGATAAAAAGGGTTAGGAAGCTTTGGTTGTAGAAAATAAGTAAAAAATTAGCCATAATTTTTTTTGCTGCAATAAATTAGCTATAGAAAATTAAAAAAAAATAATAATTTAGTGTTGCATTGTTAAGTACCAGTTGATTACCCAAATAAATGCTAATACATATTTGGCAAAGGGGGCTATTTTATCAAAGCTTGTGAAATGAACACAATTAGAAAGCAATGCATAGCGTGCATTTTCAGAATATTCAAGGATTTTTTCTATATAACCTGAATTTATAAGTTCTCCTGCAGAAAATTTGTAGCACCTTCTAGAAAAGTTGATTTATTTTTATTCTGCTTTCTGCATTCTAACATTAAATTTCCATAAAGCAGTGTAATATTCAAAGCATAGATATTGACTTAAATAATAATTTTTCTTTCAAAGTTTGATACTAAGGTAGAGTTTCTATTCCCTAGCATTCAAATATACTCAATGATCAATTATTGAGAAGGAAAAATGACCAAGATGGTGAAAAGGATCATTTGACAGGAAAAAATATTATATGTAACAATGTTTAAATCATTCAATAAATCACCAAAAATT